TTAGTTTAGGCAGAACCTGTTTTTAAAAGTAAGTCTATAGTTATTTTTCTATTAACTATTTTATGCTCTTTTCTATATTATTTCCTTAATAATTTCCCATACAGACATCCAGTGACCTAAACATTGATTCTCTATAAACATTTAGCCAAAGCTAATTTTCTTTTTTTACATTTTTTAAAATTTCAGCATATTATGGGGGTACCAATGTTGTTTAGGTTAGTACGTTGCCTTTCCCCACCTGAGTCCGAGCGTCAAGTGTGTCCATCCCCCAGAGGGTGCGCACCACACTGACTAGGTGTGAATACATCCATCCCCTCCTCCCACCTCCCATCTGCCTGACACCTGATGAATGTGATTACCATATGTGCACTTAAGTGTTCATCAGTTAAAACCAGTTTGATGGTGAGTGCATGTGGTGCTTGTTTTTCCATTCTTGGGACACTTCACTTAGTAGAATGGGCTCCAGCTCTATCCAGGATAATATAAGAGGTGCTGGATCACCATTGTTTTTTGTGGCTGAGTAGAACTCCATGGTATACATATACCACATTTTATTAATCCACTCATGTATTGGTGGGCACTTGGGCTGTTTCTACCTCTTTGCAATTGTGAATTGCACTGCTATAAACTTTGCCTGCAGGTGTCTTTTTTATAGAATTTTTTTTTCTTTTGGGTAAATGCCCAGTAATGGGATTGCTGGATCAAATGGTAGATCTACTTGTATCTCTTAGAGGTTTCTCTATATTGTTTTCCACAGAAGTTGCACTAGGTTTCAGTCCCGCCAGCAGTGTAAGAGTGTGCCTGTCTCTCCACATCCATGCCAGCATTTATTGTTTGGGGACCTTTAGATAAAGGCCAATCTCACTGGAGATAACTGATATTTTATATGTTTGTTGGCCATTATTCTGTCTTCGTTTGAAAAGTTTCTGTTCGTGCTCTTTCCTCACTTTTTGATAGGATTGATTTTTTTCTTGCTGATTTTCCTGAGTTCTAAATAGATTCCAGTTATCAGCCCTTTATCAGATGTACAGCATGTGGATATTTTCTCCCATTCTGTAGGTTGTCTGTTTGCTCTCGTAATAGTTTCCTTGGCTGTGCAGAAGTTTTAAAATTTGATCAGGTCTCATTTATTTATTTTTGTTGTTGCCGTGATTGCTTTTGGAGTCTTCTTCATAAATTCTTTGCCTAGGCCAATGTCTATAAGAGTTTTTACAACATTTTCTCTAGAATTCTTATGGTTTCATGCCCTAGGTTTAAGTCTGTTATCCATCCTGAGTTGATTTCTGTGAGAGATGAGTGGTACAGATCCTACTGGCTCAGTCTCCTGCATAGCTGGGACTACAGGTCTGCACCACCACACCTGGCTGATTTGTTTTTATTTTATGTAGAGATGGGGTTTTTCTATGTTGCTCAGGCTGGTTTCAAACTTCTGGCCTCAAGTGATACTCTTGCTCCAGCCTCAGCCTCCCAAAGTTCTGGGATTACAAGCTGGAGCCATGGTGCCCAGCTGAGTTTTCTTACAAATACCAACCAAAAAGCAGCTCAGCTAGAGAGTCATCCCAGGTATTGGTTTGAAGCACAAAGTAACACAAATACTTCAACAACCAATAGAGCATCTAGTTACTAGGGAGACGTTGGCTTTGACGTCAGTCCTCTCAGTATGAATAAGGACACAGATTTACTAAATGAAGAGGAGACACTCTAGCGGGCCAGCACATGGTGAGAGGAGCTTAGGTTCCATTCAAGAAAAGCAGCTTACTGCATAATTTGAGGCCCTGGATGAACCTAAACAAAACAAAACAAAACCCTAAACCATCCCCCCACACACACAGCAAAAAATAAATTAACTAATTAATTAATTAAGTGCAAAAAGATATCTGAAAAAAATCTTCACATGATATGTACCCATTTAGGTGTTAAAATTGACAAAATGTATTACATAAAAATTTAAACCTGCATTTGGCAAAACATATAAGCAATTTTTTTTACTAATTTAACTAATTTCAGACTAAGATATATTAAAACAGTTTTTTTAAACACCATAATTTAAATAAAATAATGACAGCAACAAAAATAAATAAGTGGAACCTGATCAAATTAAAAAGCTTCTGCACAACCAAGGAAACTATCATTACAGCAAATACACAACCTGCAGAATGGGAGAAAATATTCACATGCTGTACATCTGATAAAGGGCTGATAACTGGAATATATATAGAACTCTTGTTGATTTCAACAAGAAAAACTAAAACAACCCCATTAAAAAGTGGGAAAAAGACAAGAACAGAAACTTTTCAAAAGAAGACAGACCAATGGCCAATAAACATATGAAACATGCTCAGCATCTCTAGTCATCAGGGAAATGCAAATCAAAACCACAATGAGATATCACTTAACTCCTGTGAGAATGGCCGTTATAAAAAAGTCCCCAAACAGTAAATGTTAGTGTGGATGTGGAGAAGGAGGAACACTCCTACACTGCTGGTGGGACTGCAAACTAGTGTAACCTCTGTGGAAAGCAATATGGAGATACCTCAAAGAGCTATAAGTAGAACTACTATTTGATCCAGCAATTCCACTGCTAGGTATTTACTCAAAGGAAAAAAAGATTCTATAAAAAAGACATCCACACTGAAATGTTTATTTATAGCAGCACAATTCCCAATTGCAAAGATGTGGAAACAACCCAAGTGCCCATCAATACGTGAGTGGATTAATAAAATGTGGTATATGTATACTATGGAGTTCTACTTAACTACAAAAATCAATGGTAAACTAGCACCTCTTAGATTATCCTGGATAGAGCTGGAGCCCATCCTTTGAAGTGAAGCATCACAAGAATGGAAAAACAAGCACCACATGTACTCGCCGTCAAATTGGTACTAACTGATCAACACTAAGGTGCTCACCTAGTAGTAATACTCACTGGGCGTTGGTCAGGTGGTGGGGGTGAGTAAACTCACAACTAATGGGTGCAGAGCACAGTGTATGGGGGAAGGGCATGCTTGTAGCCCTGGCTTGGGTGAGGCAAAGGCATTATATGTAACCAAAATGTTTGTACCGCCATAATATTCTGAAATTTAAAAAAAAGTGTAAATTGAACAGGATATATTTGGAGGGGGCACTCCTGAATCATTCAGTAAATTCTCCTTATGCTTTTTTTTCTTATGTGTGCAGACATTTTGCCTTCAATACAGGCATTGGAAGCACAGACAGGTTCAAACTTTGTCCTTAATACTTGTAGACAGGCTAACATATTCTCACACAAAGGTAAATTATGGATGAGACTCAGTTTTCTTTCCTGTCATTGTAAGTCAAAATCACTTGACATCCACACATCCCTGACTCTGTATTTTCCTTTCCATGAATGTTTTTGGGCTTCTTTTTTTCTCTTATGGATATTGTAAGAAGATGAAGTATTAAATAAAGCCGGGCGCGGTGGGTCACGCCTGTAATCCTAGCACTCTGGGAGGCTGAGGCGGGCGGATTGCTCGAGGTCAGGAGTTCGAAACCAGCCTGAGCAAGAGCGAGACCCCGTCTCTACTATAAATAGAAAGAAATTAATTGGCCAACTAATATATATATAAAATTAGCCAGGCATGGTGGCGCATGCCTGTAGTCCCAGCTCCTCGGGAGGCTGAGGCAGCAGGATTGCTTGAGCCCAGGAGTTTGAGGTTGCTGTGAGCTAGGCTAACGCCACGGCACTCACTCTAGCCTGGGCAACAAAGCGAGACTCTGTCTCAAAAAAAAAAAAATAAAATAAATAAATAAATAAATAAATAAAGTGAAGATTACAGACTAAATCACTTTTTCTCTACAATTGCACAGTTCTAAAATACTTGAGGCTGACAAATTGATGAAGTTCAATTTTTGGGGGGAGAGGGAGGGAGACAGGAACTGAGACGGACAAAGATTGAGGCGGGCTGGGGTTGGTGAATCAGGAGTTAAGAGTTTGGTCAAATATAAGAACACAGTTACTGCTAAGGTGCTGCCAGAGAGCTCTGGTTTTTCTCTGTTTTGGAAACTAAATATATAATTATGATCCTTAACATGAGATTGTGTGTGGGCTTTATATTTCTAATTTTAGGATATGAAATTACATAAGTAACTCTCTCTTCTTCAGAGGTTAAAACCAGAAGCAATTACCTTTTGGTAGATCCTATGAATTGTCTATAAACATGCTAAAACACTTACATTTTAGTATACGGCACTTTTACTCAGCTTTTAAACAGCTCAATGAAAAGAAGAAGTAATCTAAACAATATGTGAATTGATGTGCTTAATGCAAGCTTGCTTACTGATACCTTTAGTAACTGCAGTTGCAATTGCAGATGCCTCCCCAGCAGTTACTTAAGACCTATTACTGACAGCCCTGTCCTAGGAGCACAGCGTCCAAGAAATGCTCAGCTTGACTGCTCCAAGTTAGAGACTTTGGGCATCGGCCAGAGATAACATGTTAATGTTATAGTCATTATTTTCATTCCACAATTCTATGCAACCAAAATATCACAACTCTGAATTGTGTTTGTATTTCTCATGTTGTAAATAAGCTAATACAGTGAGATGGGCCCATTCTCTGGGTAAAACTGACATATTGTGGGAAATGATCATATATTTTTCCACAGCAAATTATATATAAATTGCTTTGCTTATTCATATAATTCATATAATATACTGCATGTGAAAATATAGACATAGTTTTATGTATCATGTGTTGCAGGAACATATTATGAGACAAATAATTTTGCACAGAGGTTGAGAATAATGGTGTTTTAATACACCTGGAGAGTGCAGGTAACATTTTAGCTGACCTTTTAAAAATAAGCAGAAGTTTTCCAGGCAGACCAGCACACCAGATAGAAATAAGGAACATGTGAGCATTGACAGCATGGTGGGAGGAGGACACAGGGTTTCTGTAGACAGAGCGTAGAGCCTTGGGATCTGCGAGACGGGCGTGTGGGAAGAGCGAAGCGCCCTTGTGCCCCCAGACACTTAGCTCCTCAGGGAGCTCTGGGTCTTCGGTCGGTCCCTGTGGTGCGGCCCGCCATCAGCACCCTCAAGGCCCCTTTCACGTCTTTGTTTCTCAGAGTGTAGATAATGGGGTTTAAAAGTGGAGTGACTATGGTATAGAAAAGAGAAACAAACTTCCCCTGGTTTTTGGAGCTACTTCTGGCTGGTTGCAGGTACATGAAGATGATGGTCCCATAGAAAATGATGACGACCACCAGGTGAGAGGAACATGTCCCAAAAGCCTTCTGGCGGCCTGTAGCTGATTTGATTCTTAGCACGGCTTGGGTTATAAAGCCGTAGGAACCTAAGATGAGTGACATAGGGACAATTAGAAAGACTACACTGGCCACAAAGAGTTCTGCTTCGTTGAGAGTTGTGTCCACACAGGCCAGTTTGATGAGCACTGGCACCTCACAGAAAATGTGGTCCAGTTTGCGATGACCACAAAGAGGCAGCTGTACAGTAAGGGAACACTGAATTAGGGAGGTGACGAGGCCACTGAGCCACGCTGCGCCGGCCAGGGATGCACAGAGCCTAGGGTGCATGATGGCTGTGTAATGCAGGGGCCGGCAGACAGCAGCATAGCGGTCATAAGCCATGACTGCCAGGAGAATGCACTCAGACGACCCCAGCCCCATGGCCACGTAGAGCTGGGCCACGCATCCGCCATAGCTCACGGTCTTGTCTTCCATATTCATGGTAACCAGCAGTGGGGGGGCAACGCTGGTGGCAAAGCAGATGTCCACACAGGAGAGGTTGCTGAGGAAGAAATACATTGGCGTGTGGAGTTTGGGGTCCAGGTAAGACGCCAGTATGATGGCAGTGTTTCCCAAAAGGCTTAAGATGTAAAGGTGCAAAATGATGACAAAAAGGAACCTCTCTAGCTGGGGCTGATCTGAAAATCCAAGGAGAAGAAATCCCTCTTCAGAGCTGTTGTTGTTGGTTTCCTCCATTTTCCTATAGCTTTCCTATAGTGCATAAAGTTAGTAACATTTGGGGGAAAGAAAGTAATGAGGTCAGCTTGGTAATCCACAGTTGTATAATTGCCTTCCTTACACATCCCTTTGGTCGTGTCATAAAGACCTGTAACACTTTCCTCAGCACACATCCACTGGCAGGAAATGCCAGCCCCTGTTTTCATTTAATAAGATCTCATTCAAATAACAAAATCATTCTATTAATATTCATTTTATTGATTTTTATTTGTAGTTTTTCATTCTTTCTTTGCCTGTTTTTATACTTTACCCACTTTTACACTGATATATTTGTATTTTATAACGATTATAAGAGAGTCCTCAGCCGAAACCAAAGGTGAATCGGATATTCTTTGGCTAAACCAGGGGAGTCAGAAAGATACAGCAAGGAGGGAGCAAGGCAAGGTTTCGCCAGCAGCCAGTCGGCTGCAGCATCAGCCCTACCTGGCGCTGTGAGACCCCCCACCATCCACCAAGCTCCACACCCACGTGGGCTGGGAAGTGCCTGAAGCTGGTGGAAAGTGTGGTGCCGGGCAGAGCTGAATGGAGAGTTTGGATCAGGGAACATCGTAAACTCTCCTTAGCTCGCAGCTTAGGCAGTTTTAGGTGGGAGAGGGTTCAGCAGAGTTCAGTAGATGCTCCCCTGCTTGGCTGGAGCAAGGGCTCACTCTGGCCTTGCATGGCAGGACGCTCCCAGGTCTGTGTTGAGAGGAGTAGACCCGAAAGGAAGATTCAACCGTAGATATAGATGAGGTTTTGACCAGCGCAGAGTGGACAGAGAGCCCAAAGCTAGGTTCCTTGAACCGCGGGCCCTCCGTGAGTTGGGGGAAGTCCCCCTGCTCCTCCAACACCACCCCCATCTTCCCATTACTGCGGTTGGCTTGGACTCTATGTTTGGAGGGGCAGAGGGGAGGGACTTGAGGTACAGGATACATGATCTTAGGTGGTCACTAGCTTCTCCAGGTGCTCGCGCTCCTGTCCAGAGAACAGAGACTGGCTCGGCAAGGTGCAGTCGCGAGGGAGGAGGCTGTTTCTCCAAAATATAAATGGGAGAGGCACTTCCATCCACACCCTCCCCTGACTTGGAACCAGCATTTCACACCAAGGGCCCTACCCCACCTTGGGACAGAGCTGAGATAATGTTCCCATCTCTGCCACTAGACCCCCAACTCTGCATTTAAAGAGACAGAGACTCGAGAGTGGTGGCTCCTGCCATCGCCCCACCAGTCCGATCATGGGAAGTCCCTGGCTTCTCCAGGCGCCCACGCTCTGCCTCCAGAAAGCGGAGCCCGGCTCAGCTAGGTGCTGTTGTGAAGGAGTCTGTTTCTCCAAAACATAAATGGGAGAGGCATTTCCACCCAAACTCTCCTGCAACTGGAGATTGGGAGCCCCGCACCAAGGGTTCTGACCCCATCTTGGGGTGCAGCTGAGAAAGAGCCTGTTTCCACTTCTGCCGCTGGACTCCCAACTCTGTGTTTTAAAAGACAGTACGCGCAGAGTGGCAGCTTGAGCCTTCGCCCTGCCAGTCCAATCCTGGGAAGTCCCTGGCTTCTCCAGGTGCCCGCGCTCTGTGCCCAGAGAGCAGAGCCTGGCTCGGCTAGGCGCAGTAGTGATGGAGTCTGTTATCCCAGACTCCTATAAATAGGAGAGCCATCTCCACCCAAATTCTCCTGTGACTGGAGACTGGGGGCTTCGCGCCAAGGCATCCGACCCTGCCTTGGGGCGCAGCTGAGAAAGTCTGTTCCCATTTCTGCTGCTGGACCCCCAGCTCAGTGTTTAAAGAGACAGTAAACTGAGAGAGGCAGCTTGTGCCTTCTCCCTGCCAGTCCAACCCTGGGAAGTCCCTGGCTTCTCTCACACTCTGCGTCCAGAGTGCAGAACCCAGCTCGGCTAGGCACAGTTGCGAAGGAAACAGTTTCTCCAAAATATAAACGGGAGAGACATTTTCACCCAAACTCTCCTGCGTCTGGAGACTGGGGGCTCCGCACCAAGGGTTCTGACCTGCTTTGGAGCACAGCTGAGAAAGAGACTGTTCCCATTTCTGCTGCTGGATCCCCAACTCTGTGTTTAAAGAGACAGTAAGCTGAGAGTTGCAGCTTGTGCATGTGCCCTGCCTGTCTGATCCTGGGAAGTCTTTGCTACCCCAGGCACCTGTGACCTGCGTCCACAGTGCAGAGCCCAGCTCAGCTAGGTGCAGTTGCAAAGGAGTCTGTTTCTCCAAAATATAAACAGGAGAGGCATTTCCACCCAAATTCTCCTGTGACTGGAGACTGGGGCTTTGCGCCAACACTTCCAACCCCACCTTGGGGTGCAGCTGAGAAAGAGACTGTCTCCATTTCTTCCACTAGACCCCCAGCTCTGTGTTTAAAGAGACAGAGAGTAGAGAGTGGTGGCTTGCGCTAACACCCCACCAGTCTGATCCTGGGAAGTCCCTGGCTTCTCCAGGTTCCCGCGCTCTGTGGCCAGAGAGCAGAATCCGTCTTGGTTAAGCGCAGTTGCGAATGTGGCTATTTCTCCAAAATATAAACAGGACAGGCATTTTCACCCTCACTCTCCTGCATCTAGAGACTGAGCAATTTGTGCCAAGGGTTCCGACTTCGCCTTGAGGCGGAGCTGGGAAAGAACCAGTTACCATTTCTGTCACTGGTCCCCAACTCTGTATTTGGAGAGACAGAGAGCTGAGAGTGGCAGCTCGTGCCACTGCCCTGCCAGTCTGATCCTGTGAAGTCCCTGGCTTCTCCAGGAGCCCACGCTCTCTGACCAGAGAGCGGAGCCCGGTTCAGCAAGGTGCAGTTGTGAAGGAGGCTGTTTTTCCAAAATATAAATGGGAGAGACACTTCATTCTATATCCTCCCATGACTTGGGACTTGGTGCCTCAGGCCAAGGGCTCCAAATTTGTCGTGGGTCAGAGCTGAGAAAGAGTCTGTTCCCATTTCTGAAGCTGGCCTCCAACTCTGGGTTTGGAGATACAGAGAGCTGAGAGTGGAAGCTCCCACCACTGCCCCACCTGTCTGATCCCGGGAAGTCTCTCACTACTTCAGGCACCCACACTCAGCGTCCAAAGAGTGGAACCTATCTCGTCAAGGCACAGTTGCGAAGGAGGTTGTTTCTCCAAAATATAAACGGGAGAGACACTTTCATTCACACCCCCCCTGCAACTTGGGACCAGGTGCTTCACGCCAAAGATCACAACTCAGCCTTGGGACAGTGCTGGGAAAGAGACTGTTCCCATTTCTGTCGCTGATCTCCAACTCAGTGTTTGGAGAGTCTGAGAACTGAGAGAGGCAACTTGCACCACTGCCCCATCAGTCTGATCCAGAAGAAAGAACCAGCAGAAGATCACAAGAATCATGAAGAAGCAGACAGAAAAGTCACCTCCAAAAGAAAACACTTGACCTCCATCAACTGACACCAACTTATGATCAAACTGACAGAGGAAGAATATGCTCAATGGAATTGAAGAGAAAATAGAATCACAACACAGAGATACCACAAGAACAATTCAGGAAATGAATGAAAATTCTCCAATGAAATTGAAATTATCCAGAAAAACCAATCAGAAATTTTGGCAATGAAAGAAACAATCAAGGATCTCCATAATACAGTGGAAAGCATCAAGAACAGGATGGACCATGCAGAGGAAAGGATCTCAGAGCTCGAAGATTATGCCTATGAGCTAAACAAATCAGAGGAAGAAAGAGAACACAGAAACAAGAAACAAGACGAAAGCCTACAAGAAGTGTGGGATTATGTAAAAAAGCCGAATCTCAGGGTGACTAGGATTCCAGAAGGAGAAGAGGAAAAATCACAAGGGCCAGAAAACCTATTTTATGTAATACTGGAGGAAAATATATCAGGTCTGGTCAGAAATCTGGTTATCCAAATACAGAAAGCACACAGAACCCCTGGGTGACTCAGCATGAAAAGACAATCACCCCATGACATGGTCATTAGATTGACCAAATTAAACGTGAAAGAAGCAATCCTCCGTGCAGCAAGACAATAACAGCAATTAACATATAAAGAAAAACCTATCAGACTAACAGCAGACTTCTCATCTGAAACATTAAAAACCAGGAGGGATTGGATGCCTATCCTTAATCTTCTACAACAAAACAAAGCCCAACCTAGAATTCTGTATCCAGAAAAACTAAGTTTGATCTATGAGGGAGAAATAAAGTCCTTCTCAGACAAGCAATCACTGAAGGAATTTGCAAAGTCCAGGCCAGCCCTACAAGAAGTTCTCAGACCTGGTTTTCTAACCAAACAGGGCAATAGACACTCCTCAAAATAAAATCTTCAAATAATTAAAGCTTAGATCTCAAACTACATGATGGATCAAAGAGTAGGACAAAGTAACAAGACTCAACTCAACAATATGAATGGAATCCTTCATCCAATCACAATCTTCTCAATAAATGTAAATGGCTTAAACTGTCCCCTGAAGAGACATACACAGAGTGGATAAAAACCCACAAACCTAGTATCTGCTGTCTACAGGAAACACATGTAACCCACAAAGATGCCTTCCAGCTGAAGATGAAGAGATGGAAAACTATCATCCAGTCAAATGGAAGCCTAAAGAAAGCTGGGTTAGCTATAATGTTTGTAGATAACATAAGTTTTAAAATAGAAAAAGTAAAAAAGGATAAAGATGGCCATTTTATAATGGTAAAAGGGAAGATCCAACAAGAAGATTTAACAATTCTTAATATTTATGCACCCAATGAAGGAGCACCCAATTACATAAACCAAACAGTGTCTAATCTAAACACCATGTTATACAACACTACTATAATATCAGGGGACTTCAACACCCCACTTAATGATCTGGATAGATCCTCCAAACAGAAAATAAACAAAGAAATAATAGACCTTAACAGAGCCATTGATCAAAAAGGTCTGACAGATCTCTACAGATCTCTACATTCCATCCCAATAAAGTTGAATATACATTCTTCTCAGCAGCCCATGGATAC